TTCAAGAAATTATTAAAGAATTATACAGCAGATAAAATATCACAAACGCTAAGTTTGTAAAAAGATATTGTTATTAAAAACATAAATTTACGAAAAATATTGAAATCAGCATAGTGTAAAATTGATTTTCGTAAATTTGATTAAGTTTCAAATAACGTGCGAAGCTAAAATGAGATTTTTATGCACGATCTTCATAAAAGTTTCCGCTTATTTTACGGTTTCTTATATATTTCATTATTTATTTATCGTTTACACTTATAATTACACTTGTAAGTTGCCTATTTTCTGGTAGTCGACTTGGTCCCAAAGAGAATTCCTTGCCTGCGTTCCGTCCATCACAAACGGTCTTGATTCAATTGATTCTCGGGATGGACCACTGCACAACGCGCTGGTAGATTTGTCCTTAACAAAGGATCCTGATTCAACTGTGTTCTATGTTCGACATACCTATGTGCAATACATTTGTGCATTCAGTACGAGTCTCGCTGATAGATGTAACATTGGAAGATCTCGGAGCATCTCAACTGTTAGTTTGGGAATAATTGATCCAAAACGACATTTAATTAACACATAACACGCTTTACAAATCCAGTAGATGCATCATATAAACGTGTTTACAATCTTTTCTTTTTAACATGTTGGATATCAGACTTAATACCGTTATTAATTGTAAATAAATGTACGATGCAATTAACTATGTTTTGGAGCGATTATTTTCATACTAACAGTTGTAATGTTTTAGAATCTTTCAATGTTATGTCTATCAGCAAAATGAGACTGGAATGTACAAATATTAATTAAAATAAATTAATTTTGAAGTTTAATATTATTAAATTTCAAAGAACGTTTAAATTATGAAAGAAAAATAGTGTCTAACAAATTATACAATTTAACTTGTACTTGACAAATATTATATCATTAAAAGATTACATAAAATTAAAATTATGTTAAATAAGAATTAATACATTGCATTATTGATTTAGTGAGTGCTCTTGACCGACAAATAATGACATTCCATCGCGTCGTTAATCAACTAGTAAAAAGATAGCTTTAACCTCATCCATATAGGCATTCTTTTCGCTCAATAGAGACTTCATCAAATACCAATCGACTCACATTTTCGATGACCTTAAATACGGAATATTCGTCACTATCGGATTCAGAGCAGGAATTTCATCTATGCCCTTCGAGTATTTCCATTATCGACCCTCCGCGAGCTTGCAATACCGAAGAAGGGCGGCGAGAAAGTATAAAAAGATAACAGGGAATTTTTTTTTGATATAGTGGCGTATGAAAAATGCTGATATGCACCAGTATTATTTTCCATTTAAAAAAGAAATGGAGACAAGCTTATACTCTGTAGAAGAGTAGTTCAAAGTTATGATTCCTTAAAATAAATAAATTTTATAGAAAATATACAAGTTCACTATATGTAATCCTATGGTAAAAATATATGGTGTCTATATTATTTTCTATTTAAAAAAGAAATGAAGACAAGCTTATACTCTGTAGAAGAGTAGTTTAAAGTTATGGTTCCTTAAAATAAATAAATTTTATAGAAAATATATACAAGTTTACTATATGCAATCCTATGGTAAAAATATATGGCGCGAGATAAAATGTGAAAAGAATGTATGTACCTATAATATCTTTGCGATAGATAAAAAATATTTTTCGAGAATTTGGAATAGATTTGGAGATGGAGACATGTTCGATCAACACTCTCTTGTTTCACACATGTGCATAAAAGAAAAATATTTTTCTGCTGAGATTTTTGTTGATTTTTTACCGTCAAGTTACGCGAATAAATCGTGGTTACCTTTGTGAAGATATTAAAATAATAGAAGAATTTTTCGAGAGTCCGCAACGAGAGATTCAACGAGGATTACATGAGCGCGAGCCTCTTAAATTCTTTTATATAAGTATATGAGTCACGATTAAAAGCTTTAACATTGCTCGACGAGAAAGCTCTTTTGTACTTCGCGTTCCACTGCTGAATCGCATTCTTATTTTACGTATCATTATAAAGTCTTCATTATAAGTTAAATATTTTCCATCGCAGTACGATTGTTTTCTTTAACAATAAATATTTAATGTTATTAGAAATATACTATATATATATATATATTACGCATGTTATATTATCGTTACAAATATTTTATATAGTTTATTTAACACATATTATAAAATATATATGTATATTTTGCTTTATAATTTCAATAATATTATTAATTAATTTATTTGACAAATAATTGCTATAATTATCTTTAAGATTACATATTATACTTACAATCAATGTATTGTTTTCTATAAACTTAAATTAGAATTTCAATATGTTTTAATAAATGTATTTATGTATTTCTATAGTTATAATAGTTTTTATAGTTATACTATTCATACTTGTATACATTTACGGAGCAGCGTACACTTTTAAAGGACCATTTACTTTGGCCTTCGTGCGTTGGTTCTTGTCGTAAATTCGACTGATTTTCGCGCGTTTTCAGCATTTGGTAGATATGCCAGAACCAGAAATAGGCGGACGAAGTGAGCAAGGGTTCATTTTCACGCAGACAAAGTGTTGTACGGTTTAATAACGGCGGGCAGTGCAAAAGAGTACTACGCGATCGTAGTAGACAAAGTATGAAAAAGTCTGTGCACAAAGCGGCGGCACGTAACGACTTTTATTAATCATATTTTAATATATATTTAATAGCGAGAAATCTTGATAATTTATAATACCTTGTTGTTTTTGTAGACATAAATTTATTTAGAAATATAAACGCATTATATAGAATTTTACTGCAAAAGAGTTATATTATTTAAATTTGTTTGTATGCTTTTTATATATGCTTTACTATTACAAACTATTACACCTTGCAAATCTATGTAGATTTTCAAGTAAATTTTAACGTGTATATATGCATTTTATGTTTAAATAAATTGTAATCTTTAATTGCTGTGTGAAAAATAAAAATAATTATTATACAGCTTTCAACAATTGAATTATATCAACATGAATTATATCTGCGCTCTAGAATAACATTAACGTTCATGTGACATGTTTCAATTTTGCACAAGAAACGGAGGTGAGTTTACGCATACGTATCCCTTTACCATGTAAGCGGAGCTGTTGCAAATATTTTCCAGGTAGATGAGTCAGACTTTAACGCGATTATGATTCGGTAAACCGATACCCAACGCACTTTGTTGCACGAGGCACCTCTTATCGATTTTCCGTTGACACCTTCCCTTTATGAATCTCTTATCTCCCCTTCATGATTTTCCGGTATTTTGAATCTCTCTCGTTGCTTAAAGATTGAATTATTCTCACCAGTAAAATGCAAATCGTAGTGAAAGCGCACGAGGAAGATGTGAAAAGCTTCTGTAGCTTGTAAAATAGCTTTTAATAATATTATACGTATATATATCAAGACCGTAGACTTTTATTTTTTTACAGGATATTACTCTTTTACTCAAAAACTAACCACGCTATTTCTAAATGTCTAATAATCTTCAAAATAAATTTTAAAGTATTCATTTTTATATAAATGATATTTTCGTAATATAAAATGTTCCATTGCATTTTTAAGAGTATTGCGCAAATGTCTCTTTTCATAAGGTTATTAGAAATAAAATTTCCTACAATGGGGCGCTATAAGCCGACTACACGTAATTACTTCAAACGAAAAAGCTTATAATTAATACTATTTCCTCAAATATCTTCCCAAGATATTAACTGACATGGAAAAGAGTAAATACACAGTCGACAAATATTCCGAACGTTTGCAAAACTTTACTTTTATACACATATATACACGCAAATCAAACACGTGGACAATAAATACGTGTTATTGCAACGATTTTATAGCTAGTGTGATCAATGTCACACTGATTACGATTTATGTTCTCTTACCCGATCGTAACAGTGTCTGTTCCTATATTCATGTAATCCGACTCAATGGTAACTATCTCTGTTTATGCTCCTATACTGACACAGAGGCACTGATAAATAGAGCTATATCCTTTTCGAAGTTTCCATGTTTCTTTTTATGTTTCTTTTCAATAATATCTCAGAGTTGGTTATTTTATTTTATTAATATTAAAATTATAATAAAAATATAAAACTATAATAAGAATATATAATAAGCTATAATAGATTGATAAACTATTAATTAATTAAATCATAATAAAATTTTATGTTTAAAATGTAGATATTTTAAAAAGCATTATTTAAAAGATTATAGCATTATTATATATATTATATAACATTTTTACTATACTCCACTATATGTTATATTTTAGTGAAAAAATTAAACTTATTAATCTGTTTTCTGTTTTCTCTCTTTATTATTTTTTTAAATATAAGTTTCAGTTTAAAAAATATTAAATACTTTAATATTCCCAATTTTTATAAATACTTTTATTTTCCTAATATATTAATTGTAAATTATATATTGAATGTATAAAAACTCATATTATGAAGTAATTCTTTATGTGGAGTTTTACATTTGTATATTTCATTTAATGACATTAAATTACCTTATTCACGTTATTTTATTTAAGCAAAATTTAATCTTTGCAAAAAGATCGCAAAAATATGGAAACTCTCTGACACATAATTTTTATAACATATTTTTAGATGAGCAAATTTACATTTCAGTGAACATTAAATTATAATTTGCTTTAGACTGCAGATATCGATATTAATGATCAAAAAGTTTGTCGTTGATAAAAGTAGAATTGATTTGCGACTGTTTTTTCGTTATTCATTTCATTTAACCTAAATATCCAAATACAAATGCTTCCCAGTTTGAACTAAAAAATTATGGACGTCGCATGATTACAGAATGTGTTCGAATGTATAGAAATATTAAAATTATATCAATAATTATCAATATTATATCATAGTTGAAAAGTTCTATCTTGTAATTTGATTGTACAAATACAGAAGAAGATTTAGGGGATTTGTCTTGAAAGATTTCTTTCAAATTCACTTGGTTTATTCCTATTCATGCAAGCACCAGAAATTTTTACCAGTCAAAAAGAATCTCGTACTAAGTGTTAAGAGGAACTGTCAATCATGACGTGACTTAGCATGTGTATTTGGGACGTGTGAAAAAGATTATCTTCCTCAAGAGAGGTGCCACGGATCTTCTCGATTCGAATTTTAGAAAGAGTGCCACGGGCGAGAAAAAAGTTTGATGTTGAATCGATAGGAGAAATTTGCTAGCAAATCCGATGTTTCTTGCAAAGATACGAAAGTAACGAGCGAAGCAATCTGCGAGGCTTTGCAAGGATTGAACTGCTGCGGAGTAGGTGAGTTTACTATCTATACTAGAAAATGAGGCTCTGTAAAATATTTGTTGCTAATTACATTCTGCTGCGATTTAAATATAATTACATTTAAATATTTTATCCATTATCAAATGCACAAAGATAATTATAAAAGTATTAACTAAATTAAATTAAGTTAATTCTCGGGTATGTTAAGTTAGCACCCCAACTATAGTACTCTGGAGTTCTGATTAGAGTTCCCACTTCCTTTCGAAGAGACGAAGAGTTCCCTATAGTTAATAACAAAAGTTCCGCTCAATAAACATTTTGTTTACATTTTTTAAAAATGGGGTGCTAACTTTTTATCGAATTTCGAGGTGGAATAGTTCTGAGCGGCTTAATAGTTTCAATTTGCGATTGCCTAGAGTTCCTGATAAGTAAAAAAAATTTTCGAATAATAAAAAAAAAATTAAAAATTTTTAAAAAATTAATTTTTAGATACAATAGTTCTGATGATAATTTCTGCTTCTTTTTGACGATACAAAGAGTTCTCTATGATTTTTAATGACATATGCGCTTAATAATAAAAAAAAGTTGTATCAAAAATCATTAATTTCTTTATAAAAAAAAGTAAATTAGAGAATTTGATAATCAATATTGTAATAATATTATATCACACAAATAATTCTATGATTTCAAATCTTTAATATAATAAGATGTTGTCGTAGCTACAGATAATTTAGTTATTAAAATTGGTCAATTTGGTTCTCTTTCGTCGTGATATGACATCCAGGAATAAATGTTGTTTGAACAACTCGATGATAAATATCACTCTGATATTTATTTTGTACAAGTTGTGCGTTTTATCAATCATCATCCGCGCAGACGTAATGTCGACGTGATTTTTTGATGCAAATACTGCTAACGCGATCCTGGGAGGATCCGTTGCACCGAGAATTGTAGATTCTATACAAATGCATAGCTGCAGCGATATACATGATGCGTGCATCCATCCATAAATGGCCTCTCTATCAATCGTTGTCGATTTGACATTTCGTTGCAGGTTTTGCATGATATTTCTCGTTGATAAACTCACGAATAACTTTTCCAAATTCCATGACTGACGATAGTTGTTTAAGCTGTCTAATTCTATGCATACTTCCCGCAATTTTAAACCAGTAATTTTCGATTAACTATGCATCCCAAATAATTTCATTCCAATAAATGCAATACATGTTTAGAAAAATATTTGTAATAATTCATAAATATTGGAAACTCTTGATTCGCCATATATAATTTGAAATTCCTTGATTACAAATAAATATTTTTTATACATGTGAAGCTATTTACATAAATAAAAATTGAACAATAAATTGTCGTTCTACAATTTCAGTTCGTGTGTAAAAAGTATTTTAATTCTTATGAGATTCTAATATCTCAGATGGTGTGTGAGAAGTATAGATTTTTAATAGAAAAAACATTTTAATAAAAGCAATCTTCATATTATTTCATAATTGTATCACATCGATTTATGGCATTAAAAAATATAATTTATATTATAATATTTTACATGGTAATAATATTTTATAAAACATTTTATAATATTCAACTTTTATAAAAGATTAAAAAAAGAATGCTAGTGTTTATTGTATTTTATTGGGAGCATTTCAACTGCGCATTTTTTGTTTGTAGATTATTTTGTCAAACGGAACTACTGATCAAGAAGGTGACTTCGCATTCAATGTATGTACGTGCACGGATTTCATCTCCGGTTGCAGAGTACCCTGAAGTTCAGCGAACGGCACGACTATCTCGAATCTCGCGATTCAGGAGATCATCACGAGTGGAATGGGGGATTTTCAAAAGGACGAAACGGATTATCGAGAGTGCCGCAATGTGGAAAAGAATAAAGCGCCGCCATATTGTAACACTCTGCTGTCGGGCAGGAATGACCATGAATATCAAGATTTTAACATCACAAATCCACTTTTAGCTCATGAATTGTAAGTGATGGAGGGTCCATTTATCTTGTTTAAAATCATTTTGTTCGCGTGTGTATGCGTATACACACGCACACACACACACACACACATACAACTATATATTTAATGTCATCCCTTTTTAAAACAAGATATTTAAGTATAATTAAGTGTGATAAGCAGAACTCAGATTTATCGTTTATGTATGAAGAGTGCTACAAAGATAAACTTACAGATATAATATGGCATTAAAAGTGGTTACTTTTCAGAGTTTAATGTACTACTAAATGAGAAAAGTTATGTGTAACGATGTCTATCCATACAAGGGTTTGTATGTAATTTTCAAGTTTACGCCTCAGTAAGTATAAACGATAACAACTTCCACACAAAATCTCGTGATAAGATAGAAATAGAATTCATAATATTTAAGTATACCACCATACACCACACCACATCAATATTAAGATGATATATGAACATCATTTTTGTAATTTATTCATATTTGCGTTAATGTATACATGCATATTTTATAAATTTCATATACAAAGATAAAGTTTATATTATTATTATTGATGACATTTATAGTTTGTTATTATTATAATCAAGTATTAGTTCATTGTATATGGATAAATAAATAATATTATGGAATATATAAGAGCAAATTAAAATAATATTTTAAAACAATTTAAAAAAATACACTGAAAGAAAAGATTAAGCTGAATGCAGTATAGCATTTTTAATTGGTTGTAGTAGCCAATTTTTGGTTGTGTTAGCCTTTCAAAATACTATATTGATTACGCATAGCCAAAAATTGGCTGCTGTAATCAATTAAAAATGCTATGCTATATTTTCTCATCTAATTTACTGCAGTAGTCAATCCTTTTTTTCAGTGTAGAAAATGATCGCAGTATGTTGTCAATAAAAGTTTGATTAAATAAATATTTCGATTTTATTCAAATTTCTTTAGTAAGCATTTGAGTTGCATCGCTTTCGAATGAAAAGGCATTATCGAGACCGATCATGAGTTCTCGTGAGATTGTTGGCGCTTGGTAGAGCCGAAATAATATTCCATCGATCGTGCGTAATTCACAGTCACTTAACACAATTTGCAGGTTATTGCGCGAGAGCTTTATCCTATTATTACCTTATCTTGCTCGCGCTACTTCGTGTTCGTTAAATGCATGGATCTCAGAATTTATCTGCTGCGAATATTTGATAACGCGCTGACTACCGTACACATTAATATTAACTATCTGTTCAAGAACATACTTTATCCCTATTTACATATGTTTCACATTTTACAAATAAAAATATAATCTAATAAAATAATCACATTTAGTAATAAAATAAAATTCTCGTTTAATGAGAGAAATTTATTACAAGAACATTTTTTATACTATTTACGCGTGAAAAAGTTTCGTAATTGTACTTAAAAGTGCATGCTGTATACTATTAATTAAAATAGTACTATTAATTAATTAAAATAAAAGAAAAACAATTACTTAAAATCAATCTCTTTAACTAGTTTTCGGGCAACCTCGTAGTTACTTTGCCGCCAAAGTTCCATTCAATCACTTAACTTGAAATTCGCTACGAAATTACAGAATAGGTAAACTTGTAATCGTCCACACGTGATATTGTCTTCGTGATTTAGTAAACAGTAACATCTCCTGCAATTTCTATTTAATCACCATCTTACCAAGAAGATCAACAATATTATAAAGTGTAGTCGTTTGAACAAACGATTGAAATAATTGAACTAATTGTAAGGGAAAAACTTTCTTTTGAGATATAATTTATATTTGTTTGTTGCCGGATTTAATTTCTCGTGCTAAATTATCTTAAAATATACCGATAAATTATTGAAAAAATTATTATATCAAGATTACATCTATATATTTATAAATCTTAAATACCTTAAAACATTATCTTGCAGTAACTTGAATATTATATATAAAATAAAATACATATATGTATTGAATTTATTTAATTTATGTGAAATTACACATTTAACTTATATTAAATTATATATTTAATTATGCTAATTACATATTTAATTTATGTAAAATTATACATTATCTTTCTTTTTCTCTTTCACTTAAAATTTTATTTTAGATATAGTACTATCCGATCGTCAATCAGTACGTCCGTTTATTGTTCCTCTCTTCATTCTTGTGCTTTTGTTTTGCAAGAAAAAAACTCGAGCTTTGGAGCTCGAGAAGCTACGACCGCTTTCCAGCAATTCTTATTTCTTCTCCGTGATTTCCGTCGATTCATCTCCGGTCAGACCAGGAGAAATCACGAAGATCTGATCGCGTGTTTTCCCTTCTTCACGACCGCTTTGTTCAAATTCCTTAGATTCCTACCGTACAATTGTATGCCCCGACCGAGGCTTTTCTGCGCTAATGACAGAGATGCTGAGTGTGCTGAGACTGCTACTGTATTACCAAAAAGACCTCCATCCCCCATCAGGTTTGTTACAAATACAACAGTGTTTGTTTTAACATAATAATTGTAAGATTTTTTAAATTAAAATTATTAATTTAATATTGAGATAGAGAGAGAATCACATTATCAGTTATTTTTTTATAAAAAAAAAATAACGTCACGAAAAGAATATTTTTTTGCTGAAATTATACATACTAAAAAATTTAGCTAGATACAAATCCGAAAATAATTTTGTTGGACTATCAAAATAAAATATATGAATTTCAAATATGATGAGCAATATATCGAAAAATTTTGACACTCTAGCAATCAATTTGAACATAGTTATTTTGATGATTCAATGAAATTATTTTCAATCGGTATCTAGTCAAATTTTATACTTCAGCAAAATCATCCTTTTTGTGAAGTTTTAATAAAATTCGGAATTTTTTTGATAGACACATTTTACCTGGGAGATTCGATCTGCGTGCTAGTACCACAGAGTTATTAAAACGACGAAGCATCACCAAAGCTCGAAGGTATTTGTGGGAATTTAAAGATCGAATTTTGCAGAGTGCAAAACAAGTCTGGAATGCGGATGTCGATTTGGACTCGGTTATTTGCACGCTAGTACTACATGCATTGTGTGAAAACGTGATTTTTACAATGGCTGACACAAATACAGGAATTGATGTCCATACTTTCATCAATATGGCCGTTAGTTGGATATTAGTTGATTTACAAATTTTAGATCTGACTATACTGAGTGAGCAAGAACGCAGTATGTTCACTGAGTTTGAATTATTTGACATCGATAGTACGTATAGTAATATAAGCTTTTCTATTATTTAAAATATATATTATTTTATCTATTATATTAAAATTGAAAAACGACCGTTTCTAATTTAAATAACATGCATATATTTTTTATCGCAAAACTATAATTTAAATACACATTATGTTTTATATGTTTTTACTTTTGCAATTTTATAGTAAAATTTATAATTTGTGACAAAAATTGCCATTGTTGTAACAATATTTGAAAAATTAAAGTACAGTTCTATTCAGATATTTAACAAATATGTATACATATTTGTGTTTTGTTAAAACAGTTAATGTACGCATATTTATGTTTTGTTAAAATAGTCAGTAAAAGCTTTATTATATGTATATTTGTTGTATGTGTAACATTGCAATCGATCGTGACCATAGAGACCATAGACCCGAGAAATGGGCCGCATTAATGATAAAAAGTATCGGGAAACATTGACTTGAAAACATACTTAACTATTATATACTCATTAACACTAAAACGTTATACACGGAACTTCTTACGATTAATATATGCGATAATATATTATTTGTAAGCTTGAATATTCATGAAATTCGTCAGAGCGTTCGACAAGCCACGAAGTGGTCGTCTCTTCGAAACTCCGTAGAACTCTCTTCGAAGTGCATCGCCCAAAGTTCGAGCCACACGTCTCGATCCATTTGCATCGTAGTTTGCCATGGACGCTGGTCAGTCCAGCACATCAGACGGGAGTCACTAAATTTTATCCTAATGTGAGAGAACGAATCGACGAGAAGTTACCAGACTCGTCTCAATATGTGAAATCAGTCTATATACCGGATGTAACGTGTTCTCATTTCGGAAACGTGCCAGATTAGGATCACTTTGCTTAAAAGAAATCCAAGTTCTCGTTTGAGGGATTAATTGTGAATAATATGATTAAAAATAAAGGCCCATATTTTACATAACACTTCAGATCGCAGTTATACTTAAACATATTGTAATTTGAAATAAAAAATTATTCCAGAATTTATTTTGAAAAGATTCATGAAAGTAATGAAAATGTTAGAAAATGGAGATATGAGGGGATATAATCTGTAATAAATTCAATATCTGTAAAAGAAATTAAATTTAAATAAGAGAGAGAAAAAAATGGAATTGTGCATAATTATAATAAATTGTAAAGTACAGAGAGTTTCATATTTCCTCTATATTCTTTTGTAAAATAAATTTCTAATTTTTGTCACATTTTCATTGTTTTAAAATGTATGAAAATTTCCTATCAAAGTTGTTATAATATAAAAATTTATAAAAAATATAATGTTTGTAAATTTTATGTAGATATAATTAAACGAGAAAATTCTGTATAAACAGATACCTATACTCTGAAAAATATTGCTTTAATTAATTGTCACTATATTGCGATTCAGGTTTAAGAAGCCATAAATATTTTGCAACTGGGGAAATTTCGCCACGAGTCTCGCAATAATTCACGTCGGTCGGCCACCTTCCGCGCGACGATGAAATTTTTATGATCCGCAATTTCAATCCACGGAACTCGTTAGTTAGACGATCATGTGACAGTTAATTAATTCAACGAAATTAATTCGGTGTGTAATATTAATTATATTATTAATACTATATACATGGCTGTTTTCACTCAAAATCTCTTCGTGGGAACAATAAATCAAAATTATTGGCGTGTATAAAGCTGTCGGCCAATTTTGTTGAAATACATCGTATAAAAAAAAATTATACAGACATTTTCGATGCGCATAATATTCATGTTTATACTATCATTCAATCATGTGGAAAAATGTAGTCAATACTGCATTATCATGACAATCGAAGACTGTCAGGTGTGTTCGAACTCTTCCACAAAAGGTTTAAAGTCTTTTACACACGGGGATTGATGCACAGAATCAGAAGATGCACCTGAGGCTGTTCCTTGAAAGGAATATAAACTGGCCGCGGAGGCGAATATCGTGGACGTAACTTGAAGAATAAAAGAAGAAGAAAAGCGACGGCATTCGTTGGACATTTAATGGACTTTTCGCCTCGCGGCGCCTCGCCGACTGCTCGCGCCGACTGCTGATTCAGCGTGGAAATTACGTCAGCTTCCTCGAGAGGATGGAGCACATGCGGAAGTGCCACGCCTTTCTCTTCCTCTTCGTAACGTCTACCAGTCTTCAGCTTTGTCTTCAGCCACGACGGCGGCAAAACGGCAGCTTTTCTCTCGCAGGATGTGCGAATTATGTGTCCGAAGTAGAAACGCGTGAAGGCGAGCTGACGTAGTTTCTACTAGTTTTATTAAGATAAATTAAAAATATAAATAATCAGAAATATTCGCAGCAGTCAGATAAATTCGTTTTGATTTTTACATTATAATTATTGAATTTTTTATCTATATTTAGAAAACAAACTTATTATTATTGTCCAATTTCTTCACTTCCAGATAAATTGTGGATAACTTTATTCAGGAGATATCTTTATTGCACATTCTGGGAGATATTTAATATTTTTAATAAAAAGTTATCTAGAGGTGAAGAAATTAAGTATATATGTTATTTGCTTATATCCCTGATGTAATTTAACAACTGATTACAGACATAATTCGATGTTTAAGTATGGATACCGTTATATTTTATCAAAATAGAATTAAAACAATTCCTAATATAAAAGTAAAATTCTGAGAACACTCAGAGGTTAATGATGCTTTCATAATCTATATTTTTCACTCGTTGCAGTCTCCAGTAGCCAAACCGCGAAGATCTTTTTTATCGAACACAATGACGAAGATCTTCAATTTTCTATGTCGCGGAAATCGCATTTGCGTCGCCGGCACTTTCGATATCCCTCCTTTAACGCGGCGCCCATTAATTGCTTAAAAGCCTCGGGTTACTGCATCCCGTTAAGAACTAAAATATGATTATCGAGTGGTAATTAACGATCCGACATATACGTTATCATGAATTATTCATGTATTGTGAGCAGCAAATAAATTTAAATTCTGTTAACGTTGTTGGCAGCAACGCTGGTAGATGAGCAACATATATCAGAACAATAAAGATTATTTATAATAAATATTTTATACAGCTAAAAATATACATATATAGAGATAAATTTTTGTTTTAGTAGAGATTATTTTATGTAAAATATTTATAAGATTTAAATTAATGCATGGGTCGCAGTTTCATGAAAATAAATGTACTAATGATGATATGTCAATAAAGTCTGACGTTTTAAAATTTTTTTAATTACGTATTAAATATGGAGCAAAAAATATTATAAAAATGATGTAAGTATTTCAAAAGTAAAACCTTTATATGATCAGCAAATATTTATCTAAGTTAGGTATTCTACAACTCATTGCATTTCATCAACAGGGAAGAAAAATATCCAGGGGCTACGCCCAAAAGGGTTTAAATGCTCGCAATGTCAGAGTTAACTACATGCGTTTCTATCCTCCATTCATTATCTTGTTACCTCTCCCCCAAACAATACATAAGCTCGACATTGTCACGCTGATTACTCGGAAGCCGCTAATAACACCGTATACAATGCCGAACTTGCCAGCCGGTCGAATCAATGCCAGGCACTCTTGCGAGGCCACCACCGAGCTGTCCTCGAAGCTGATAAATATTCATGGCTCACCATGGTTGGCACGATTTCCTCGTCGTAAAACGGCCGGATGATGCGGGCGAATCCGTGCGACAGTTCCATCGTTCCGCGTCGCGATAATCACATCCAGTAATGCCGTGCCCGCTTGAATCGTTGAACGCGTCGTAATTGAACCCTCGTTTCTCACGGAACGGAATTTTTGAGCGAGTTAAATGGCATGCAGCGCTCAGGCGCAGCGCGTAATTCTGTACCGCTAATTACGAATTCTGTGTGTCTGCATATCGGAGGATTCAATTGCGAACACGTTGAATTTAAGTGCGGTGTATCTTAGGAAAACGTTTTTAATGAAAAATGACGGCTGCCATTTAAACCACGGAAATGTAAAAAAAAAACAGAGAAATAAAGAATTAATAAAAATTTATTTTAATTCGTAAATTATAAAATTAAGGTTTTATAATCGTTTCTATTCTTTATCTATTCGATTTCAATTTTCACAAAAAACAATCAGATGAAGCATGAAATTTTATTCTAGCATTTTTCAAGAGTATTTGTTATTTTATTGTTTTTAGAATACAAACTTAATTTTTTTTTCGTCATGAACACTTAATTCTTTTCAGAACGAGAATCTTACAACATAGATTTAGGTAAGTATATTTTCATTAAGTAATTAATTAATTGCGTAATCGCGTTTTAATGATTATATGCACGGCCGTATACGTAAGAGCGGCTTCCTCTATGAAATAGCATTGCTGCACATTACTTTTAATCCAATCTGAACGCATACCATATATGTTATAATCTCGAATCAACTGACTAAGGCTAAATGCAGCTTGTGTGTATTGACTTCGTCATTTAGCAGACTGTATATCCGTGAATCGCCGTATTCGATATCAATCGACTTTCTAGCGGAGTTAATATCCAAAAGAAGATTATATATATATATATATATACATATCGGCAAAGATTAAAAAAAATTTGATCGTTGGTACATATCTCTCATAAAGCTAAGATAAAATTACGTAAAGCATATATGTGCACTGTAATAGTGAATGACCTATCTGTTCTCTCCTTACAATTATACGAGAAGTCATATAGTTGTATTTTTTTCTAAAAGACAATTAATTTCTCATTATTAATAATTATAGATAAAAAAATATTTTATTAAAATAGATTGCGTTTATGAGTATATGTATACCTAGTAATTGTTATAACGTTCATATTTTTATTTTATTCTTGATTTAACGTGGTACATTTTTTGCTGAAATCTAAAAGCGTTTTTCTTTAATAAAAAAGTAAAAATTGAATTATAATTTTTAATTAATCATTTACTAGCATCTACAATATTTCAATTTTATATAACACCAAATTACATAGCAATTTCAACGGTAACCTGAGAATAGAATTATCAGTGAACAAAAAGGTATCTAGATCAAAAATAACATCTTTTTATGACTCAGAATTTATTTCAACAAAGCTACGCGACCATATGCGACATAACAAATCGCTGGTAATGAGAGGCTAAATAGGGACAAACATTTATCATCTCTCCAGCGGGTGTTACTGGCATTGCAGATATCTCCTGATAATAATAGTTCGCTTGATCATGGCTGCAATAAACTTTCTATAATCGAAAATATCTATAATAACGATTAAAGTAGGTTTGTTTAAAAATCCCGATGTTTAAGCATCTCAAATTTTGTTGTCTAAATATCAAAATTTACTTTTGTTCGTCTCTATTATAAATAATAATTGAGAATGTAGAGGGAAAATTTTAAAATATATATAAATTGAGAATTTTTATGAGTGGCTTGTAATTATAACATTTTATAATTAAAAATTGTACTAGTATTTCTAAAATACGATTTTTAACATTCTGTAACTCGTGATAATTTATTATAACTAATAATTATTATATAAAATTAATATAAATGGAAAATTTCAATTATTATATAAAATTAAATAAAGTCTGTTTGCAAAACGAATTTATTATAATAAAAATTTAAATACATATTATTATTAAAATAAAGATTTATATATTAGGCAAATTATAAATATCTCGAGATTTCAATCACTTGTCTCAAAGTGTTCATCTTGAATCTAACATTACAGATCGATAACGTTTCCGATAAAAAGAGATGGAAAAAAAGTTGAAATGAATACGAAGCATTGAATAGAATAATGATGAATGCACATCTCCCAATGGAGATGCGCGTGATCGCTACTGCATTTGTCACTAGTTTCGCATGCTGATATACGCTTTTGATATACATATACGCTGTTATTATTTATCTCGTGTTGGATTTATAATTATCGCATTAATTACTATTTACA